AGAGAGAGAGAGAGAGAGAGAGAGAGATGATGATGATGTCGCGCGCCCTCTTAATGCTTCTTACCCAACCCTTTCTTCGATTAATGTCCATTCTTTGCTAATTATCCAGTGTCTGGGGTCTAGCTATTGCATTAAGTGCCCACCCCACACCCACACCCACACCCACACCTACAGAATTAAATTAATATCCTCCAAACTACAGGTAAAAAAACAAAAACAGAGCAGCCCTCAATGACCCTACTCGCAAAAGAATGCCTGTTGAGCGCTCACATTTTTGTGTCTCTGCTTTGACCCAGAATGTGGTCTTGGCCTTTGACGTCAACTAGATTCTATTTTTAGCAAAGGCGTCTTCCCTATGTACAGATTGGGATCGCAGATTGTTGTTTCCGCTGTTTCCTGTTTCGCCAATACATTACCACACTTTGTCGTCTAATGATTTCAGAACTCCGATTTTACTGTTGAGTTTAAACTAAAACGTTACCTATGTAATTCAGAAAGTTAAGTAAAAACTGTCAGGGATCTTTGTTCTCTCTAACTGACCCATACTAAAAATGAGCCTAGGCTATATAAGATTGAATATATTGCAATACCTCTATTTAACCTTCTCAAATAACGCGCTGCAAGACCTACTCACGCCGGGTATGACTGACCTGCATACATACGGGAACGTTGTCATGCACTTTTAATCCTCAGATTACAGCTACTTGATATCTATGATGTTACTCCCTTCTCACTTCGCATGGTGTCCCAAAATAAAAAAATCGTATGATGTGCAGCGGCCCAGAAAAAAACTCAGTCTGCTAATACTGTCATCTCACATACACGCAACCAAGATATGAACATCCAGTATCAAGTTAAGATTACATCATAGCGTTTACTCATTTTCCCCCTAGAGTTTATTGGATTTTGTCGTTGCCAAATATAGGCCTATGTAAGTGTATCTGATATAATACATTTTGGTTTTGATTAGTCTGGCGTAGAGATTGGGGTAAGTCAAACTATTACAACCGACAGTTGATTCTTTTGAGTTTGAAAAACAACAACTCAAAAGAAATTACAAAATATTTCCACCCTCTATACTGTCTTCCACACCCC